GCAACATCTGTTAAAATTCTGTTCAAGCACTGACAATACAGAATTATAAATAACCGGACATTTTTTTTCAGAAACCATGCCTTTGCTTGATTATACCCTGAGTATTCCTTACACATTTCACAATATTCACAGATCATCAGCCATTTCTCTCTCTCTCTCTTTTTTTTTTTCACCATTGTAGGGCGAATGCAGTTCCCTATTTTGTACAAGGCAGAAACCATGAACGTTTGGCTGAATGTTATTATATGCTGGAAGACTATCAAGCGTTAGAAAATTTGGCTAACTCGCTTCCAGAAAATAACAAGTTACTTCCAGTGAGTATAAAAAGAGCTGCTTCTTGGGATTAGTTACTATAAACTGCTTATGTTGGATGATATTAAGCCCTGGTGGCGCAGTGGTTAGAATGCAGTATTGCAGGCTGACTCTGCCCACAACCAGGAGTTTGATCCTGACTTGCTCAAGGTTGACTCAGCCTTCCGTCCTTCCAAGGTCGGTAAAATGAGGACCCAGATTGCTGGGAGCAATATGCTGACTCTGTAAACTGCTTAGAGAGGGCTGTAAAGCATTGTGAAGCAGTATTAAGTGCTATTGCTAATTTCTGGGAAACTTGTTTCTCATTACATATGCTTATGATTGTATTCTCTATTTTATTGATTTGGGCAAGTTTTTTTATCTGAAAAAATAAATCCTTGATTCTACCGAGGGTAACATACTGAAGACATAAAAGGAAAGTTTAAAAATCAGGCTGTTTCTCGTGTTGAAAGGAAAATCTGGTAAAAAATATAATGCCATATAATAAATGATATTTTTTATCATATATGACCTTTAGGACAGAATAACCTCAGCCATAGTCTTAACACATTTTTGAGACTGAATACCCAAAGGGGCTGTGATTGTGAAATGGTCGTCTGTACATAGTAAAGCAAAAGCAGCATAGCATAGATTACACTTTAAATTTCTAAACAATAAAACACCGGAAAAGATGGTAATAATAATTACCCTGATTAATCTTGGTTACCACTATCTCATATTTTGTATTTCTGTTCTTTGCCAGCACATGGCCACAGTCAATTTGTTAGAAATTAAGGAGTTTTGATATTGTATGCTGCTACTATTCTAGAATGTAATAATACCTTTCCATACCTTTTAGGACATAAGCCATAAGTTTGTTACTGTGGGGATGTGTGAACAAGCTGTAGCTGCCTTTCTGAAATGTAACAGACCAAAGGATGCAGTAGATGTCTGTGTTAATCTCAACCAGGTAAAAATATAAGCATAATATAGGAGACATTATTTGAGGGGAGCTTGTTCATATTAACGGAATGGCTGATTTCAATATAGCTTCCCTTGCAGCTTCAGCTGGCAGCTAAGAGATTGAATATATAACAAATATATCTACCTAGGGATTTATGTGTCCTCAAGTTCTGTGTCTTTAATGGCTAATTCAGAAATTACATAAGAAATGTATAATCAGATCTCCTACTGTCTAAAAAGAGGTAGCATGATTGGGGAACACAGTTTTCACTAGGGACCAGTTTGAAAAACTTGATTTTTTTCCACGGGCCAATCCCCAAATATCAAATACACACTCCAGCTATTTTTCAGGGGACTACACAGATTCTCAGACAATTAACATTGGGGGAAAATTAATTCTCTTCTTCCATGGTTCCATTCAAAAGCTCTTGCACAACTAATTTTAGAAACATAAAGGAGGTCCAATTTAGGTATCTCTTGTCTGGTTTAGCTACTTGTTTAAAATATGTTGTTGGGGGGGAAAGAAAAGATACTGCAGCTAAACTATGGGAAGGTAATCCAGGGATCATGTGCAATCTCCAGCCTCCATCCCATTTGCAGCCTCAAGTACACTCGCTGAGTCAGTGGGAACAAAATAGTTAATCAACCCATTGTTGCGGAGGTTGGAAGAATATAAAGGAAAAAGCACCCATTTTGCTGTCTAAATAACCCCAAACTTAGGCTCCTCCCCATTTGATGTGGAATGCTAAAGGAGAAAATGTTTAAAGAACCAATTTTATCTCTTAAAAACGCTCATCTCCCTAAACAACAAAGCAGCTGAAATTTAATGATTGCATCAACAATGTCCCTGCTTCCTTGTGTGACAAAAAATATTACCTTCAAAAGTAGGTACTACAGCAAGTATTGGACTGGTAGATGAATAGACAAATACAAAAAAAAATGGAGATTTCAGCTGGAGCTGGAATTACTTTGTTAGTTAGCAAAGAGATTAATGCAGTAGCAACACAAAAATATATTGGTTCTCATGGGCATTTTATTATTATTAAATTTCTTCAAGCAACTCATTGCTCTCCTTTTGAGAATATCCATTACTTCATCCAACCATAGATTTGTTGGTTTTTCATTTCCTTTCAACTCATTCTCTCCTCTGTATATTTATTCTGCAATTCAATCTTCATTCATTCTCTCTATATGTCTCTAGAGCACCTTAATGTATTTCTTTTGTACTGGTCACTCACACACACACACACACACACAATACACACTCTCTTTCACTCTGGGTCTATTTTCCTTAAGTTTATTACGCCCACTATTTTCTTCTTGTTTTATTGCACACAATTGTGATGCACCGCACATTCACTGCTTTCGTCTTGCTGTTATGTTTTTCCTAGCTTATTGAATTCTGATTTTCATATAAAAAAATACAGACAAGCAGGCTATTATATGCAACCTTTCCCCCTCCTTCTGATAAACATTCTTTCTGCCACCATTTAGTAAATATTATATATAGGTGATCTTTGGGTTATGTCCATTCTCTCAGCGACTGTTCAAAATTACGATGGTACTGAACTAGGGGGATTTACTAGTCCTCAAAGTTCTGGTTGTCGCAGCATCCCTGCAGCACGTGACTGAGAGCTGAGTGTCAATTTCCACCATTCCCTGCCAACTTCCCACGAGCAAATTCAGTGGTGAAGCCAGCAAGAAGACGGAAGTCGTGGTCATGTGTAGTCCTTACCTAATGATAACAACTGGAACGGCAAAACTGCCATCACTAAACAACAGTCATGTGGCATTGTGCTTTATGACCAGTTTACTTAGCAATTGCAGTCCCAAGTGCTGTTGTAAGCTGGGGACTACCTATCCTCTATTTTTGCTATTGATAATTTTTATAATTGTTCACTCAATTTTCTTGTCAAACTAAAAGTTAATTTTCAGAGCCATATTCTTTGTTGCATCTAGCATTTGACTAACAATACGGCATCACTTGCATTCAATATGTACATTCCTGTCCCTGACAAATATATCTTTAAATGCTCCAAAAAAAAAATACTATCATAATCATTTTTTAAATATTTATACATAAATACATTTAACTACTGAAGAAACATCACACATACTTGTCTTATTTTCTGCTCTAGTTGAAACATTAATTAATTTCATTTAGGCCTACTTTCCCACAACTGTGGCAACTGTCCCACAAGATTACAGTCCCAATATATCCCTACAAAATGAAATGTACCCATGTCCTAGTACTGTAATCTTAAAATCCCCTAGATTATTTTCTCTGATAAAGAGAGCACGTTTATTTAAGACTTTGTTCCTAAATTTGGATTTGCATTGATTAATGGCTGTTGCTTTTTCTTCCAGTGGAGTAAAGCAGTTGAACTAGCCAAGGAACACAATATGAAAGAGATTGGTTCTCTTCTAGCTAGATATGCGTCTCAGTTATTGGAAAAGAATAAACCTCTCGATGCTGTTGAACTATATCGTAAAGCCAATTATTTCTTTGATGCTGCGAAACTTATGTTCAAGGTACTGTTGTTAATCTGGAAAAAAAGAGAGAAATGGGATAAACAGTGATGTTCCAAAAATATCTGATGGAATGGATTCTTCTTTTTCTGCTGCAGAAGATTTAGGACATGTTTTGGCGGATACAAAAGCCTACTGGGGTAATACTGGCATACAGTAGCTCGATGCTAACTATTTAAGAAGTTGACCGTTTTTATTCCTGGTAGATTTTTCACTTTGCCCATTGATGGTTCTATTACTAGGAATAAATATACATGTTTCTCTTGTCGTACTATATATTTTATCTATTAGAGCCTTTATATGCTTAAAGGAGATTTGGAGCACATAATTAGCCTTTATCTGTTTGTTCAGCAATAGTTGTATCGTATTGAATTAGAAGCTACTTTTACAGTTTGTTTTTTCCTCTATTTTTCTGAGACTCCAGGCCAGGAGCAGGAAGACATGTGGGGTTTTGATATGCACTTTTTTGGATGAAGGCTGATGAAGATATATTTAACGTTGTATGCCTGTGATATGAAACTTGATTAAATTTACTTTTCACACACAAATTAGCATTTGGTTCTTAACTAAAAAAAAAAAAAAAAGGAGAGATGTTCTCACTCCCTTCAAAGAGATCCATCTTATGCCCAGTTTTCCATTCTGCAACAGTGCTTGTTATGGGTTATATTCAACTTAATAAGACAGCAAAAAAGACTCTTATTAAGAAATCCTTTGCTTTCAGGCAAGGGAGAAAATTATTAAGGGGAAAACAGCTTGGAGTATTGTCAGATTTTTTTTTACAAATGTCTGAGTAGAATATAAATCTACTTGATGTGCAAAACACTTTTACTGCTTTAGTTTTGTATACGGCATTGTAATTAGAAAATAAAGCGAATTTGTAATGTTTGCCTTTTAAAGATTGCAGATGAAGAAGCTAAAAAGAGGACCAAACCTTTACGGGTTAAGAAGCTGTATGTCATGTCGGCTTTACTTGTTGAACAATACCATGAACAAATAAAAAATTCTCAGAGAGGAAAAGTCAAAGGAAAGACTTCAGAGGTAAAGTTTCAGACGGTTTCATCATTTCCAATGTGACTGCAAGGAATACCTATCCAGATGGAGTTGTGAAGTGTTTCCGTAATACTCATATTCCAACTCATATTTCCTATCAATGTTATCCAAAAATATTTAGAACACCCTTTGGGAAATGGTTTTACAAATGTATCCAGTCAAAGTTATATGTTAAAATAGGATATATACCTCACCATAAGCATTTTGGAGTGAGAGGTTAGTATCTGCAAGATGGTGGACAGAGCGTTACGGATCATGCCCTGCCCCTTTTTGTGCATGCTTATGACAACTGTTGCACAGTCAAAACACTTATTCCATATTCACCATCTTGCAGAAGCCAATGCTGCTCCTCACACAGTTTTCCTTCATTTACGTCTTCCATAGAAAAAAGGAAAATCACAGAATTTCCAGTGACACTTCTCCTTTAAGAAAAATTGTTATTACAATTGTTATTACAGATTGTGATGTTAAAGAAACTAACTTGATGTTGAATTTGATAACAGCTGCAAGGTTATTAGTAGGGCAATATTGGAAGAAGGATTGCTTGCCTGCTATAGAAGAATGGACGCTTAAAGTGTCAAATTTAGCAGAAATGGCTAAGATTTCTGCCTGTTTGAAGGATCATTCACAAGAAAGATACATTTCGGTTTGGAGAAGATGGATAGATTATATTCAGAATAAATATGGGACTAAAAAGTTCCATTTAGCCTATGAGTAAATTTTAGAGTATTATTAGTATTAATAGTTTATTATAGTGACATTTTTATTAGTTTTAATTATATGATATTATTATTAGTATTAGTATTGTTTAACAATATTCTATTGTTTAATAATTAGGATACTAATTTGTTTATGTTTTAATTATTATATTTATGTTAAAGAGGAGTTAAAGCGCATTATGGACTTGGTTATTTACATAGTTGGTTAATGTTAGTTAGATTATGATTATTATATTTGTAACCCTGTATTCAGCTCTGGGAAGTGGGGGAGGGAGAGGGGGAGTTTAGGGTGGGTTGGTTTTGGGGTTTATATTGTAACTTTTATAAAACTTCAATAAAAAGAAAAGAAAAAGAAAAATTCTAATTAGTAGGAGGAAAACCTTGGGTAAAGCAGCTTCTTGGTCCCTGTTGGTGACATTTGATTGTATACAATGTGGTCTCCCCCTTCTGAAATGAATAAGTTCTGTGCATCGGACCATTATCCGAGAGCCGTGGTACTCAGTGGTTGGAATGCAGTACTGCAGGCTAATCCTGCTGGCTGCCAGCTGCCAGCAGTTTGGCAGTTTGAGTCTCACCCGCTCAAGGTTGACTCAGCCTCCCATCCTTCCGAGGTTAGTAAAATGAGGACCCAGATAGTTGGGAGCAATATGCTGACTCTGTAGAACCGCTTAGAGAGGGCTATAAAGCAGTATGAAACAATATGTTTATGTTTATTTAGATTTGTATACCGCCCTATCTCCCTTACGGGACTCAGGGCGGTGAACAGGCGATAATAAAAATCACAATAAATATCTATTCTAAAATCAAATTAAATAAATAAAGGCCTGCTCTAAAATACCCCATATAAAAACCTATACTAAAACCTAATTAAGACTACGCCAGGCCGGCCGCACGAAATNAAAAGGCGCAGGTCCGCAGTTGTACGTAGGTCAGGGGGTAGGTCATTCCAGAGGGCAGGAGCTGCCACAGAGAAGGCTCTCCCCCTGGGGGTCGCCAGCCGGCATTGACTGGCCGACGGCACCCTAAGGAGGCCCTCTCTGTGGGAGCGGACTGGTCGAAGGGAGGTATTTGGTAGGAGGCGGTCTTGCAAATACCTAGTCTAAGTGCTATTGCTAAATATGTTTGGTTTTGATGATGAACGTGTCATTCAAGAAATAAAGATGGGCTTACTTCCCTTTAAATGCTTTTCCTGTTTATAGTTCACTGCTGTACAACTTAACATTGTTATGTATCATGAAGTGCATTGTCACAATGCATGAAATGCATACCAACTTAATGTAAATAATAGGCATGCTATCACTTGTTTATTTCCTTTGATTACATCTTTTATCCCAGGCTACCTCAGCCCTAGCTGGCTTGCTAGAGGAAGATGTTCTTTCCACAGACAGTCGCCTGATCGATAACGCTTGGCGAGGAGCTGAGGCTTACCATTTTTTCATACTTGCCCAAAGGCAGCTGTATGAAGGTTATGTGGATACAGCAATGAAAACAGGTATGATGCTGCCTTTTTCCACTTTGGATTCACGGGGCAATTTTTCCATTACGTATCCAGTCCTTAAGCAAACGTTTTCAATGCTCCTATTATATTCTGTATATCTGGGGAAATGCTTTCCTCAAAAGAAACCTCACTGAAATCACTAAAGATCTAAAACTCTTAGCCTGAATCATTTATGGCTATTGACTACTTAAGTAGTCAACTGTTGTATTCCAGATATTGAACATATTTCTGCCAGTTTGGGGATTTAGTATAGATCTTACAGTTCTCTTGTAGGTAGATCTTTCCTGTTGTTTGTATTAAGCCACTTCATACTGTGGATCAGAACAATTGGGTGTCAGCCAATGATTTCAATACATTAACGTAACAGTACTTATGCAACAAAACGGCTTATTTAATTTAATAGATGGATATGTTCTGAATCTATCGCTTTCTACATTAACAGCTCTTCACTTGAGGGATTACGAAGACATTATTCCTGCAGTAGAAGTCTATTCCCTGTTGGCTCTTTGTGCATGTGCTAACAGAGCATTCGGTACCTGTTCAAAAGCTTTTGTTAAACTGGAATCTTTAGAAAATCTTAGTCCAGACCAGAAGCAGCAATATGAAGAACTTGCCCTGCAAATATTCACAAAACACTATCCTAAAGATAGCAAAAAGTCAGACTTGGATGGACTTCTCGAAGAGTAAGCATGGTGTTCTTGTAATTACATTACAATATCCTGGGTTTGGTGGAAATCAGTGATCCAGCAGGAAAAAAGCATTGTAGGTGGTCCATATTCTCTTTTACCCTGCAATTCTGCCTGTTCCCAAAGTCTATTTGGATTAAGGGGGGAAAAAACATGGGAGAAAGAGAGAAGAGGATTCTCCCTTTGCAAAGGCCTTCTTATACAATGTTGAGAATTGTTCTTTATTCAGGTTGGTCCTCATTTAGTGACCATTCACAGTTATGACGGGGATGAAAAAGTAACTTTGCAACCCAGTCCTTGCGTTTACAGCCTTCGCAGCTCCGCAAAGCAAAGGGAAGCTGAAATAAGTTCATCACCACAATTGGGGTTTCACTTAGTAATCGTTTACTGATTGAGTTGCCAGTCCCAATTATGGCTGTTGAATGAGGACTGCCTGCACACCTCACTTTTTAATTTATTCTTTTGTTTTTAAAATAGTGATGAAAAAATGAAAAAAAACAAAATGCAAAAATAAAAATGCATAAATATTTTTTAAAGTGAAGTAAAATACAACAAAGGAAAAAGTACAATATGTTTTAACAGTAAATAGTTACAGTTCTCTCTCTCTCTCTCTCTCTCTCTCTCTCTCTCTGTGTGTGTGTGTGTGTGTGTATACACACACAGCATATAACTGGCCTGCTTTTTTTAGCTTACTGTATTTTTTATAAATGGATTCAATATTTTATTATACTTGTTCATACAAGGTCTACATCTAGGCACCCACTTATAAGTGGCAAGTACAGTCAGGTCCTCAATCCATTGAGTAAGGGGTCATATATACCTTTCCAATGCTGCAGTATAAGTCATTTGGGCATTGTAAGGGCCTGGAGAATCCATTTAAGTTAGTTGGTTTTAATTCCAAGTACTAGGTATGCAGTTCAAAAGAATGTTATCTGAAAATTTTAGCTTTTGTCCCACATTTATATAGCCTCCCCAAAACATCCAATCAAAAATGCTATATATGTATATTCAACGTTGCCTAATTTGGAAAATTAACATTAATTGTTGGTTCGTTATTTAATGCTTAACAATAGGTAAGAGCATATGATACAGCTTTTCTAAACAAAAAATTTACTTCCTGGAAATATTTGTCACATATATAAATTGGAATCCCTCTCATAATATAAATTAATCTAGAAATAATACTCATTTGAGAGCATTCATCTTACCTGCAGATTGCATTTTTAATTTTGAAAATAATTCTATTGCTATGCAATAGTTTTTTTAACTATTTTTTTAACCAGTTTGATCTGTTGTATATTGTTGAAATGTTTGCAATCCACGCTTGTAATCTTAAATTTGAATGAATGACTAATGTAGTTGTATAACCTTGGCATATTGTGATATAATTTTTCTTCCTTGCGTTTTTTTAGGGGAGAAGGAAAGCTTCCCACATGTGTTGCTACAGGAAGGCCCATCACAGAATATCAGTTTTGGATGTGCAATATATGCAAGCACTGTGTCCAAGCTCAAGAAATCAGCAACTATAACTTCTGCCCACTCTGCCACAGTTCAGTGGCCTATTAAATTATGCAGGTGAAAACAGCCATCTGTGTCCTTTAATCTCGGGGTACTTGATATAAACAAATATTTGCTTGCTTGATTTATTCTTTGCAAGAGCTTTGCAATATTTCTTTGCGCGAGCATTATATTCTGTAAGTGAAGTAGAGCATTTTTGGAAAAGATTGTGGGGAAAACGGGGCTGTTTTTTTGTGGGAACGAACTACCGTTAATAGTCTTGGCAAAAGTCATGGTCACTTTTGCACTGACGTTCACAGTAATATGTGTATAAAATAAATACAGGTATGCCACTTTTTCAGCTCTTCGCTGAAAAGATACCACAGTTTAGTCTACAATTTTTAAATATGGGTACGTGACCCAAGTAAAAGGCATGGGTTGGTTATTGCTACACTTGAAGCACTATCAAAATATTACAGTCTCTTTGATCAGCTGTTTGGGCATTGATGGCAGAAATCCAAGCCTTCTGAAATAGCTTAGATTTTACATGCAGGGTTCTCGGTCAAATTCAAGGCATGACCTCTTCTGGGAAAAGTCTGGGAGAGAACTGTAACAAGAAGAAATGCTTGATTCAGAATATTCAAAGCCTGTTAGCCCTTTTGCTCCCTTTTTCCTGCTCTGACCCTTCCTTCAGCACTTTGCTTTTTCATAATATTATCTCCAAAAGCAGCAAAGAATTGTGCAACATTAACTACTGAAGTAAAACAGCATAGCTAACAGTAATTTTGTATAAAAGCTGAGACTAAATTCTTGATCAGTTGAATGTTTAATAGAAATAAATTTCCTACATGGAAAAGATGATCCATTTGTACATAACCACTTGCTCCAGAATTTTGTTTATGTTTGTTGCTTTATATGAGAAAAGAACTGTTTATTTTTAAAGCAATATTTATATAAGCTACCTTTCTTTTCTGTAATAATACAGTATTATATTTTTCCATGAAGAAACAGCTGTCACTGTAGAAAACTAAACGATAAAATGCATAAATCAAAATAAAAAGTGGTATGGACAAATACATGGTTTATTACATAAAATGTCATTACATATATCACCCTGGAAATAATTCATTTAATAATTAAAATAATTTCCAGATATACTCTGAATTTCCTATTCTGTTTGTATGTATTGTTTGAGTTCATTTTTCAATAAATTAAACATAAAAACCTGTTGTGTTTCTGTTTTACACAATGAATGTATTAATGGAAAATAGGAATTCCTGTGTATGTCTTCTATTATTTCTCTTATATGTAAGTTATACCAGATTACACATTATTGAGCAATACATAACCACTGAAAATTACTATTAAAATTTTCAGTGGTTATGTATTAAATTGCTATATAATTACTGTTCAAGCCCAACTCTCTAATAGTCTGTAACAGTCCTATATTTCTACATTAATAGCGTTAGCATTAGTTTGGAGTAGAAACTTTGTGGAAATACATAGGTGCATATACTGGACACATGGTAAGAATAACCTCCTGATCATGGAGACAGAAATAACTCAAAGCTTGGGGATTTCTTTTAATAAAAACCCAAAAGAAATCAATTTAGCTACTGTGCATTAACGATGAACTTTTTAAGATGTGCAAGGTCGTTGAAAGCTTTAGAACCTAAAATGGGATTCTATAGAGAGGAAGATGAAAGAACAATGATATTTGATAACAAGTCATGACAACTGCATTGTGCTAGTTTTAATATTTGATAAATAAGCTGCCGCAGCCCTTTAGTAATTGGGATATCTCGGCTGCTGTATGGTGGATCAAAAGACCCATCCACCACTGGAGAGTGATCTTGTAGGTAGGGAATCCAGTCTTGGTGTCCCTTTCTCTGATCATAACAGCAGAACATCATTGGGACTGACGATAGAAGTCAGAATCTTCAAAGCCCTTCTCAATAGTACTCAAGACGTAGGAGAAAATTGGAATGCTTAAGAAAGACCGCACTCAGCCTATATTTTTCAAGTGTGGATGTTTTTATTGGTATAAACATATATAATTTTTCAAGTGTGGATGTTTTTATTGGTATAAACATATATAATTTAAATAGGAGCTCTAACAAGTATGTTTTCTTTTTTGCATGAAGCACAAATGTCTAAGAAATAATAAATTAAAGCAGTATTTACCTTTGATAACTTGGAGAATGCACAGTATCAGAACAACCAAAATTCAAGGATGTCGTTCCTCTCAATAGTTAATTCCACGACATACAGTGGTTTCGGGTGGCTTGCCTCTGCTCTTGCAAAGGAATAGCTGAAGAATATTTATGTCCCCATAATTACAATCCTCACTACCTAAGCAACCCATTTGATTTACAAGGTGTCACTATTTCATTACGTACTTCAATTTTTCAGAGGTCAATAACTTACCAATTAAAAGGCTGCATCAGCAGGAAATAAGATATACTGACAACCTATGTCTCTTAATTTGTTTTTCTTCTAGTTCATGACAGAAGAGAAACAATTAAATTTATGGCAATATTTTGCCATATGTTATCTTCAAGTTGGCCTGCTTCCTGAAATTAAAATGTTACCGGTTGGCTCTCAGAGAAGCAGCTAAATATATGCATATGCACACACAACTAAAGAAGCAGCCAAAATATAGCCGTTGTCAACCTTACAGGGAGACCAAACAGGAAACAGGACCACGAAAGCTAATTCTACTTTATTGTAAGTTACGTTAATAGGATTTTACAAGTCTGAAATAAGTTCTCCCGTCATCACCCAAGAAACTAGACAGGGTCCCTCCTGCACATCTTGTTCTATACAGCTACACTGTCTCTTCTCTGACCATACCCTAGGCCAGGGATCCCCAATCCCTGGTGCATGGACCGGTACCGGGCTGCAGCATGCCAACAACTGGTCCACACAAACAAGCAAAGCCCCATTTGTGGGATACAGGCAGCACACAAAACCACATACCCTCCAGTCTGTGGAAAACCCTCTCTCCACGTAACCGTTCCCTGGTGCCCAAAAGGTTGAGGACCGCTGCCTTAGGCAGCATCTCTTCGCCCCATCTCCCAAGGCCTTTCCCACATACCATTACAATCACTTGTTAAATAAGGAATCCTTAATAGATTACTCATCCTTAACAGAAGTTGAATTAAACTCCAAATATTTTCAGAGATAATAAAAACACTATTTTCATGCATCCAAAAAGGATGCATAGATTCTGAGCGTATTAATTTGACTGTCCCTGCTAAAATAAAGCAATGACCCAGGGCCACTAAATTAAATGTGTATATTTCCAATATTCGGCTTACAGCCAACACATCTGTGTTAAGAATTTTAAACAAACCTGCCAGTATACAATACAAAATCCTATTTCAATTGTTAGTACATAATAATTTTATTGTAAATGGACTGTGAACTATTGGGTAGTCACTTTGATTGAGTCTTCCAGCAGCATCTCATTCACACAATGCAAACAATTTCTGGAGCAAATTTGATCTTCACAATGAGCATTTGATCAACCAGAAAGCTATTTTACATTACTATTCCTCTTCCTGTTGTTTCCTTTTAGAAGAAATCATGTAAATTACATCAGTGCATTCATGTGATTATGATTTAATTATGCTATTATTTACTAAATATGATCAATATGATTCATGTGTATTATGTTACCACTGTGAGCTGCTCAGAGTTTTGTTAATGGAATCAGCACAAAAGCAACATGATAAAGAATATACATAACTGTGGAGCAGGATAATGCTGAGTCTGGGTTACGGCTACCTATGGTGAAAAGCAGTTGTTTACTCAGAGCCAAAATGAAGAGAGAGAAAAATACCCCCTTCTCATTTCTTTTTACAAAGGCAACTGGATTTGCAGCTTAATTCAATTTCAATGCCAGCATGGAAAAATACCTATGGCAGTCTCTTTTGTTTTAATAATAATAATTGAGTTGGAAGGGACCTTGGAGGTCTTCTAGTCCAACCCCCTGCTCAGGCAGGAAACCCTATACCATTTCAGACAAATGGTTGTTCAGTCTCTTCTTAAAAACTTCCAGTGTTGAAGCATTCACAACTTCTGGAGGCAGGCTGCTCCACTGATTAATTGTTCTGTCAGGAAATTTCTCCTTAGTTCTAGGTTGCTTCTCTCTTTGATTAGTTTCCATCCATTGCTTCTTATCTTGCCTTCAGGTGCTTTGGAGAATAGCTTGACTCCCTCTTCTTTGTGGCAGCTCCTGAGATATTGGAACACAGCTATCATGTCCCCCCTCGTCCTTCTCTTCATTAGACTAGACATACCCAATTCCAGCAACCATTCTTTATATGTTTTAGCCTCCAGTCCCCTAATCATCTTTGTTGCTCTTCTCTGTACTCTTTCTAGAGTCTCAATATCTTTTTTACATCGTGGTGACCAAAACTGGAGGCAGTATTCCAAGTGTGGCCTTACCAAGGCATTGTTAAGTGGTATTAATACTTCACGTGATCTTGATTCTATCCCTCTGTTAATGCAGCCCAGCACTGTGTTGGCCTTTTTGGCAGCTGCAGCACACTGCTGGCTCATATTTAAGTGATTGTCCACTAGGACTCCGAGATCCCTCTCACAGCTACTACTAATGAGCCAGGTACCACCTATACTGTACCTGTGCATTTGGTTTTTCTTGCCTAAATGTAGAACCTTATTTTTTTCACTATTGAATTACTCTGAGTCTCAGCTGGATATCATACTTTTTTGGACAATCTATTTTTATTTTTTTTGCAAGAGCAATCCCAGGTTCCATGCAGCACAGAGGGAGTAAGTCAGGAAGGAAAAGTAGGGAATAGTTTTCACTTAAATATGAGCCAACACAGTGCTGGGCTGCATTAACAGAGGGATAGAATCAAGATCACGTGAAGTATTAATACCACTTTACAATGCCTTAGTAAGAACAATTAACCAATGGAACAACCTGCCTCCAGAAGCGGTGAATGCTCCAACACTGGAAGTTTTTAAGAAGAGACTGGACAGCCATTTGTCTGAAATGGTGTAGGGTTCCTGCCTGAGCAGGGGGTTGGACTCGATGACCTCCAAGGTCCCTTCCAACTTTATTATTATTATTATTATTATTATTATTATTATTATTATTATTATTATTATTATTATTATTATTATTATTATTATTATTATTACTACTACTACTACTACTACTACTATTATTATTATTATTATTATTATTATTATTATTATTATTATTATTATTATTATTATTATTATTATTATTATTATTATTATTATTATATCAGAGTGGGAAGGGCTGGCAACACCCAGTTTTTATCATGACGCCAACTCCACTGTCCTTGGGCCCTATCTGCCCTCCCATACAATCCCCAACGGTCTTCCACGGGGAGAGGAATCTTATTTCACCCTTCCTATAAGAGCGCTGTAGAGGACATTAATGAATTCCTAATCAAGAAATGATGGAAGGAACAATAAGGATCATACAACACATCAATGTTCCGGAAAACCAGTAAAACCATCCTTAAAAAGTAACTGCCTAAAATCTGAGCAATACTCAGTCATGTCCAAGTCAAGTACAATGTACCGAATGTCCCCTATTGCAAAGAAATTTAGAAATTTGAGGGGAAAGGAAACTGCCACTCCTTGTGAACTTGATTTTCAGTCTGACAGAAGTAGATTCTAATTTAGCAACAGGAATTAAAGGTGGTTCCAATTATGCTTGAAGCGGGGTGGAATGAAGGTCAGCTTTTCAGAAGACTAAAGTCTAATTATTTCTCACTAGAGTTGCAGCAGATATTTCTGGAAATGTGGAAAGTGCTGCATCTAGGTGCAATTTGGCAGCTCACACCAACATTCAGAGATCTTGCCAAACAATCAACAAAGCACTTGGCCAAGTTACAGTTCCATTTCTGCAATAAGACAAAGATTAACTTAGAAATTGCACATTATTTTTAATCTATATGAAATCAAAGTTTGAATTGCACTAGAGAATATATTGTCGAAGGGAAATATTTCATCTCTCTTGGGAAAATAAAAATGCTTCTTGACTGTAGAGAAATGTGAACAACACTGAATGTATCTATCTTTAAAGTATAATAATTCCTCTCTCTCTCTCTCTCCCTTTCTCTCTCTCTCTCTCTCTCTCTCTCTCTCTCTCACACACACACACACACACACACATCAAAAGTATTTGCAATGCTATCAAAAATTTGCACATAT